ATTATAATCTATTAAAAGTTGGGACAGTCCATCAACGTGAGCAGTAGCATTGTGAACATAGTTTTCGCATGGCGCCACCTCCGTAGGGCTCATCCATCCCTCCAGCGAATCACTCCGCTGCGCTCTTATCGCTGTTCTAATAATTCTTGTTGCGATCGGTGATCGCAGCTTTTTATTGCCAATTACAACAGTCGACATAAAGTGCAGTAAAGTTCGTCGATAAAATAGATGGGGTCGGAAGCACAGCAAATATGTGTTTGAGAAGTTACCCGTCAGTCTGGCGTTTTCCAAGTTCTTGTGTTCCAAAGGCAAAATCTGTGAAAGTGCCGTTTCAAAGAGAAACAGAAGGAATGAAAGAGTATAGTTAGCAGCAGCCGTGCTGTTTATTGTTGCGGTCGTTCCTTTGCTGATTGTGAGAAGGCTAAGCGCCAGCCGCAGCTCATTGTTTGCCGAAGATCGGTCGCGCTTTCAAGGTACTTGCTTTGTTAAGTCAAAGTCAGACCGCGGCTGGATGTTATAGTCTCTAGGATTGACTGCTCATAGCGTTGATTTTGAAGTTTATAGCCATTGAGTTGCAGCTTTAGAGTGTAAGATATTGCGAAAAACATCATATAAAAGTGTGAAGCCTTGCAATGATCACGTAATGGTCAAGGAAATATAAATGTAGAGTTTTGAACAGGGAGAATAGTGAGCTCTCCTTGCTTACTGCAACGATTTAATATATCAATTTCTTGCGAATTTTGACGCCATTTATCTTTAGGCTATATTTTTTGACGCGCACATACATATCTTCCTTTGCTCTTGTTAAACGAACAAACGCAATCCCTAGATTTGGTAGTTTTGATTTTTTCTGTTGGGATAGAATGTAGAGTACTATTGTATTGAGAGTTATTCCTATGTATTTTCTTGGCTATCATTCCATTGCAATCGTCAATGTTCGGTACTTTGCTACAGAAGCAATAAAGTTAAAGTACCAGGTTATCAGTCTGTTTCCATTACGTTTTGAGTGTGGATATTTAGGATCCCGAGGTGCTGTATGCTTCGCAACTGGAGCAGTTAGCTGGAATGGGATTCTCAAACAGGGCACAAAATATTGCAGGTTTGTTTATTAGTGCAGAAATTTGAAGCTTGTTGTTAATCTTCTCAAATTCATTCTCTTGTCTTTTTGCTCTATCTCATACCTCATTTCCAGCTTTGCGTGCTTCGTTTGGTGATTTGAATGCTGCAGTGGAGCGTCTGCTGAATTCTCCCTAACTCCTAGAATATTTAGAAGATGACGCTTATTTCTATTTTCACTTGTCAAAAAACTTCTGGATTCCTTTAGCATAAGCGCAT